TAGCGTCCTTAAATTTCGAAATATTGCAGTTTCAAGCATATCTGAAATTTACCGTTATATGAAAAGCGGCCTCAATTTTAGTCCGATTTCAACAATTTTCAACGGTTTGCTTTTATGTGGCAAGCACAATAACCATACCGAGATTGGTACAAATTGTTAGAACGGTTAGCGAGATACATATATGTGATCACAAGTGGGCGGTGCTACGCCCATTTTCCAAAATTTCGTCATAAACGTATTTCTTGGTAAAGAATTGTTGCAATCATCAATTTTGAATAAATTAGCTTCAATATTTACTGATTTATCGAGGATTTCGTATTTATCGAAATTACCGTTATATGGGATGTGGGCGTGGTTATTGTCCGATTTTAGAAATTTTCGGCCAGTTGGTATGCTGTACCAGGACCAACAACTGTGCCAAGTTTGGAAGAAATTGGTGTAGCGGTTACCAAGATATACACATGTAACCATAAGTGGGCGTGGCTACGCCCATTTGCTACAATTTTGTAATATTCTTATTTTTCGTCTAAAACTCATTGCAAATATCAATTTTGAGTGAATTATCTTCAGTAGTTACTAAAATATCGCAGTTTTCGTTTTTCTGAAAATTACCGTTATATGAGAGGTAGGCGTGGTTATTGTCCGATTTTTAAAATTTTCAGCCATTTAGTAAGCTGTACTAAGGCCAACAACTGTGCCAAGTTTGGAAGAAATTGGTGCAGCGGTTACCAAGATATACACATGTAACCATAAGTGGGCGTGGCTACGCCCGTCTGAAACTCATTGTAAGTATCAATTTTGAGTGAATTATCTTCAGCAGTTACTAAAATATCGCAGTTTTCGTATTTCTTAAAATTACCGTTATATGGGAGGTAGGCGTGGTTATTATCCGATTTCGCCCATTTTCAATACCATCCGTCCCACGCCCAAAAGAAGTTCACGTACCAAGTTTCGTTAAGATATCTCAATTTTTACTCGAGTTATCGTGTGCACAGACGGACGGACGGACGGACGGACGGACGGACGGACGGACAGACAGTCACCGCTTAATCGATTTCTCTTTTCATTCTGATCATTTATGTATACATTTGTCTATATCTATCTCGATTCGTTTTGCCTGTTACAAACAACCGTTATGTGAACAAAGTTATAATACCCTTGTGCACAAGTGCGCTCGGGTATAAAAATAGGGGTATAATTTTTTCGGTATAGAACAATCCTAGAGGTGAGAGCAACAAAATTCTGACTTTACTTCCCCCCCCCCACAAGCATTTTTGGACCACCCTAATACACATACGATTGTAAAAGCATAAATTTCTTGCCTCGGGTTGAAGTGAAACATCCAGCCGCAGTGATAACGATTTAGTTTCGTAACTTTTACACTGACACTAAGGAATATCAAATGACAATCCGACTGATTCTTAGAATAAACCAAACCACATAAATCACTAAACTTTTATTCAACTGAATTTATCTTGCAGGGTTAAAAATGTTTCTTTGTGTAAGTATGTGTGTATGAATAGGTATCCTCATGTTGTATATTTTGAATCAGATGCATGTCACCTATGGACATATGTATATACATACCTCGAATTCATCCAACAGTAAATAATCGGATTATACATGGAGTTGCTCATGGCTAGCCAATATATGCCCAGATAAACTTCTTGTATGAATGGTGTTTCTGTCAGCGCCGGATAACATGAAGTGACAATGAAGTATGTGTGAAATGGCAGCCAACAAACGGCAAATATCAACACAACAACCATCATCATTTTGACCACCTGAAAGAAAGTGTCTTTAATTGAGTACTCAATAGTGATAAATGATGAAAAGAAGATTGTAGAATACATATGTATGCATAATTAAGGAATGGAATGTATGTATATCTGTGTTCATATTGAATAGTAGCTGACGTCGAAAGGCTGGAACTTTTGGCAACTAAACGTGCAAGAAATAGTTCCGATACCAGGAAGTGAATATTGTAATTACGACTCATCAAGGTATTCCTTGTATTCCTTAACGTTTAAATAAATAAAGGGAATGCCGCAGTATAGTAAAGCCAACTTCCCGACATAAGCTACCATTCCATACGAACACAGAAATATAAACGTTTTAAGAGTAAATATGTACTACTATCAACAATATCTGTAATTTTGATTGTAATTATAACGGAAGCCCTAAATATCTCGAATAATAATTTTCAATAAAAAAAAAAATAATATTCTAAGTTTCAAACTGAATAGAAAACTAAAAGTAATTTTCAAGCAAAAAACAAAACCCATTTTAAATTCTCTTTTAAAAATTATGATTATCGTTAATTTCTTCATGATCCAACGATCGGATATAAACAAATTAGTACGAGGCCACCTGTGCGGTAACATCTTTCCTTTAAAAAAGATTTATATAAATCGTAGTCGTTGGTTTTCAAGAATTCTGTATATTTTTTACCAAAAATATAAAAACAGAGGTCTATTTTTCGATGTGGAACAAGCCTAGGCGATGAAAGTAATTAAATTCGGACCTTACGGTTTTCACTTGCATTTTGTGACCACCCTAACATACATACTCGTAAAATGCATTGGGCAAATAGCTTACAGTACTCACATTGTTTTCAATTCGCACTATATTATCCTTTTCAATATTTAACAGACTTCAAAAAAGGAGAAGGTTATTAATTCGTCGGAAAATTTTTTAAATATTTTTTTTTAATGTATGTCGCCGCATATTTTTGGACCACGTTAACCGATTTCTTTTCTCTCAAAGACCTCTCGTCTTACCCCAGAGGTGATCCCATACTAATTTGGTTTAGATCCGATCATTGGATGCTGAAGAAATTAACGGTATTCCTAAATTTTTATATCAGAATTGAAGTCGGTTTTGTTTTTTGCTTAAAAATTGCTTTTTGTTTTTAATTTTTATGTATGCACATATTGATTTTAGTAGATGAAATTCGCTTCGCTATATATCTACATATCGTCGTTTAAAGTATAAAACCGCGTAACTAACAGTTGCTGCAAAAAATTGGATTTGCTCACACAAGCTCTTGGATAAATCCTTGTCCATTCGTCCTGAAATATACTAGCCAGAAATACGATTGCTTTATAAAAAAGAGAACCATTTTGAAATATGAGTGTTTTTACTTGCTAGAAAATAATTTATGCAACCTCACATACGCGGTTTTGCATTTTTCTGGTACGCGGGTTTGTACTTTAAACGACGACATGTACATATGTAAGTAAAAGCAAGAATCCTCTGTGCTTATACAACCTTTAAAGTAAAATTTACTTAAACAAATTCTCTTAACAACTTCCAGATCTTAAACTTACCCTCCTCTTGCTTTTGACATTCTCTACCTGTCGCGGTGTATGTTCGCCAATTGCTTTTGAGCCCCAAAGCTCAAAGCCCACTCGTGAATAAGTGAATGTCATCGAAATGATGGGCAGTACGTACGTGAGTATCATAAAAACGATATTATAGCTGTAAATAAATGTAAAAGAGAAGAAAAGTATAAATTGTTCTACGAGCAAATTCGTTGCGCTTACGCATCATAAAAATAAATTTTTGGGCAGTCGAAATTCC